CTCATCCTGAACCCTTCAAGCCTCAAAACTTCTATAAACCCTACACACCCAGAGCCAATATCCCTAAATTAGGAATATTCCTTCAATTATGGTACTCCTACGCGAGTTTGTCGTTGCATTTCGCGTTTTTGATGTTTCCCCCATCTGCACACACGCAACGACTGGGGTCGCTGCAAAGTCCTTGCATTTGCCGTTTCCGCAAGAGCACACCCCGTGCACACCGTCCCCCAAGAGTGAACAACTCGTGTGAAAGCCGGCGTGGCGCGGTTCGTTTTTTCCAGCCTTCTGCAACTGCACACCTCCGGGGACAGGTGAAGAACGGACCCCGACATGCATGCACTTATACCTGCGTGCTGCGGTTCGTTTTTGCAGCCTTCTGCAACTGCACACCTCCGGGGACAGGTGAAGAACGGACCCCGACATGCATGCAGTTATACCTGCGTGTTGCGGTTCGTTTTTGCAGCCTTCTGCAACTGCACACCTCCGGGGACAGGTGAAGAACGGACCCCGACATGCATGCACTTAGACCTGCGTGCTGCGGATCGTTTTTGAAGCCTTCTGCAAGTGCACACCTCCGGGGACAGGTGAAGAACGGACCCTGAAATGCATGCGCTTAGACCTGCGTGCTGCGGTTCGTTTTTTGTAGCCTTCTGCAACTGCACACCTCCGGGACAGGTGAAGAACGGACCCCGACATGCATGCACTTATACCTGCGTGCTGCGGTTCGTTTTTGCAGCCTTCTGCAACTGCACACCTCCGGGGACAGGTGAAGAACGGACCCCGACATGCATGCACTTATACCTGCGTGTTGCGGTTCGTTTTTGCAGCCTTCTGCAACTGCACACCTCCGGGGACAGGTGAAGAACGGACCCCGACATGCATGCAGCTGTACCTGCGTGTTGCGGATCGTTTTTGCAGCCTTCTGCAAGTGCACACCTCCGGGGACAGGTGAAGAACGGACCCTGAGATGCATGCGCTTAGACCTGCGTGCTGCGGTTGCAACGCCTGCGCTGTCACTCCAGGCCGGGTTTTCACATCGTATGCATGGGTTGAACGATACCCGGTCGTACATCAATAAATGGGGGTGAACGATACCCTCCGGTGTGATTTGAATCCAGCCGCTCAAGAAGCACATCAGCGGCATCACAGCAAACAGCACATCAAAACCAGCCATTCCCGATGTAGACGCTCGATTTGGCAAGCAGCCGCTCAAGAAACACATCAGTGGCATCACAGCAAACAGCACATCAAAAGCACTCATTCCCCATGGAGACGCTCGATTTTGCAAGCAGCAGCTCAAGAAACACATCAGCGGCATCACAGCAAACAGCACATCAAAAGCACTCATTCCCCATGTAGACGCTCGATTTTACAAGCAGCCGCTCAAGAAACACATCAGCGGCATCACAACAAACAGCACGTCAAAAGCACCTTTCCCCATGTAGACGCTCGATTTTGCAAGCAGCCGCTCGAGAAACACATCGGGGGCATCACAGCAAACAGCACATCAAAAGCAGCCATTCCCCATGCCGACACTCGATTTTGCAAGCAGCCGCTCATGGACCCTGCAACAAACCAACACCGCAGATCATCATCTTCAAAGCATTTCCCCCATGTGCACACCGAAACGCAACGACCCCGCAACAAAGCTTCCCCCGAAGGCTTGGCGCTGCCACGAACGAAACGCAAGGACTTTCCCAACTGGGAGTAGGATCCCTAATATGATTTAGGGTATATTCCTTAAATAATGGAGTCTCTGGGCACTCTACGAACCCAGTTGGTGGCCTCTTGCTGAAGCGCCCCCTGCCAGAGAACCACCGACAGGTAGGCATGAAGCGAGGCGCCTAAGCCCAAACGGTCGTTTTAAGGGCTCGTTCAACAGAGGTTTCTGTAAGGGGTTATACACTAAACTTATAAGTCTATAAGGGCTCAGGGTTTAGGTGTTGGATCTAGAGTTTTGGGGCAGAGGGTATAGGGTTCAGGTTGGAGCCTTTCTCAGCACGGGCTCAGGCTCAGGGTGTGTTTCATGCAACCTGAAATCTCAAATCCCTAAAGCCTGCCCGGAACCTCCTAAACCCTGTGCTCTAAACTCCAGTCGGAGGGATTCTTCTGAGAAATAAGGGATGTGGAGCCCATGAGGCACGAGAGGGGGCAACGGAATTCCCGCCACCAGCCTATGTAACCCTAAACCCTAAGCCCTTAACCCTAAACGGTCAGGCAACGAAGAGGTCTAGGCCAGGTCGCCGGGGCTTGAAGTTTCGAATTTCGTGCTTGTATAGGACCCCAATCATTCACTTTTTCGCCACCTTAACCCAAGCAACCTACGTTTTTAAGGACTGATACAGAGAAATCATTTTGGGTAGCCCGAAAACGGTAGGTATTAGGGTCAGGCATGCAGTAGGCTTAGGGTTTAGGGTAGCAGTTCTGTCATCCTACCATGGTCCTAAAACCCCGAACAATGGCTGACTTCAGGCACACCTAAGCCAAAGTGCAAAGATCGCCATGGCCTGCCAAAGCCAGCACACCTCCCACGTCGGGCTTTGCGATCAAGAGTCTGGTTCTGAAACTCTTAAAGCCTAAACCCTAAAGGTTTGGGGTTCAAAGTACAGGGTTCCAATTAAGGGTGTTTTAAGGGTTTGCAGCTTTAGGGTTCAAGGCTTTACCGTTTTCGGGGCGCTGGGTATTTAGGCTATCCAGGAATGTGTCAAGAATCGAGAATACATGGAACCACAAATAAGGAGAGTGTGCGTCGCGTAGCTTGAGTGGTGGGGTTCTTGTCAAGGGCCGCTCAGCTCGCAGAGGGCTACTGTTTTAAGGCGTTCACTGGGGTGCATAGGATAATTAGGCAGTTGAGAATTGTGGCAGTGGTTTTGCCTGCTTGGCTTGCAGAGTTAACTCTTGAGACCATCTGTCTGCAGGGTTCAGGGTTTGGGGTGCGGGTTATGGCTAGGCTTTAGGGTTCATTCCTTGCCCTGAGCCATGTCGCAACGGAGCTATGGTCATAGGGCGTGTAAACCGCAAAAGCCCATACCATACAGCATCGAAGTCCACTTCAACGGGTTAATACTGTTTCATGCTAGGCAGTAGAGCACTGACCCCTCTCAGAAGCTGGAGGTTGATTTATTCAGGCAGAAAGATACCAATCATTGATCCTCCTAATTTCGTCATAAAATATTTATTCCCATCATATCTTTAATTTTTCAAACAATTAGGTTCTTATATTTTGAATTTTAGTTTGAGTTTGATCTATGACAGCCAGAGTCAACGGTGTTCAAGATCGTGCAGACGAGGCTCATGATGCACACCCAACAACCCTAAACTAGTTCTACTTAAGGCTTTCTGTTTAAGGAGTTAGGGGTTAAGGGTTTAGAGCTTGATGATTCAGGGTGGAAGACTTATGGGGTGTGAGATGTGCAGTATACGCCTTTCCGATTTAAGGTTTACAGTTTGGAGCGTGAGGTCTATACCAAAATGCCAAACAAAACCGAAGCCCCTCCTTGCACCAGGCATGATTTTTTTGACGCTCACACTCGGGCATGCCTGGCGATGCGTGAACGTGCATCACCAGGCATGATCTAGGGTGCGGGCGTGATTAAGAATTATATCGGTCTATGTAATTTCTCAGAGGTTTTCCCTAACCTCCCCAATTACATCGAATCTATACGACAATGCGCCCCGAAACCCTGTTCTCATTATGTAAGCCCCTGTGCTGCGCAGTCCGTTGCCCCTCTTATATAGTGTACAATACTTATAACGCTCCGCCCAAAAGCCTACTGCACATAAGTACTATACGCAGACGCTCTTTTTTGGAACCCTGTGAGATCACTTAAACTAGTAATCATTATTATGATTATTATTGTTATTATTATTAAGGCCCCACCATGAGCTGCCCAGTGCAACTCTGCTCTCCGAGGCCTCCACACCCAGAAGACTCTGTCACCACATCCTCAGAGAGACCGAGGACGCCTTACTATAGGGGCCTTAAGTAACCAGAGGCTTCCAAGGACCTTATAATTAGGGCCCTAGACCACTTAAGGACCCAATAATAAGGTTAACTCCTGGAAGCCTAGGGTAATACAATCCGATACCAGTTAGAACGTAAGAATGCGTGTTAGGTTCTGCAGCCTGTCAGGTCCCTGAACCCTAAACCGCGAGGAACCCCAACAAATCACCGTAATCATTCCTGGCCTTCCTACAACCGCACGAGCTAGAGCTTTTGGGCTGCCTATGGCCGGCTTATGGCCTTTTTCTACCCTCAGCCCAGCGTTCATAGGGTTGGCCTTACGCATCTTGAGACCTCTGCTGCAAGCTTGCTAAACCCCTACACCCTAACTAGGTGGGGCTTTTTGAAGCCGTTGAAAAAACATTAGTAAATAAGATCCTCTTAGGCCCAACAAGGGAAAATTGCAAATGATGTCCCAAAGCCCCTCCTAGCTAAGCGAGTTTCGGTTCGGGTCTAGGGCATTGGGTTTTGGTGACTCGCGCCTTGATCCCCTCTCGGAACTTTGGCAGCCAAGGAAATCTACACCCTATACCCAGTAGTAACCCAAACCAGGTTTTAAGGTTTAGGGTTTTCAGTAGACTATGCCCCATCCCGAAACACCACACCCCGTCCGTAAGGTCCTGCACCCAACACTCTTTCAGCATCCTGGCCCGACATCCCCAAACGCGACACGTCAACCGGCCCTCATCCAGAGCCTGAAGTTTCCCAGGCTACCAGCTTGGCACGTCTAGTTACCGGTCAGTCAACCCTTGTGACCTTTTTCCACGGGGGACTTGGGCCAAGTGCGGTCGCGTAAAGACATAGCTAAGGACCATAGGAATAGCAATGGAGGCAGGGTAAAATCTACACCCCCCTCGCCGTGCTGCTCGAGCTAAGGCGGATAGTACATGGCTCCAGGTTGCCCTGGGCTTCAACGGATTTGGGAATTTGCCAAAGCGAGCATTTATAAAGCACAACGGGGAAGCCCTGCAGGTCCGAAGCAAATCAGAATGAGGACTCAGCGCCTATGGGTGCGGTTCCATGCATCCCACTCGGCCTGAGTGTAACCTCCACGACGCTGGCGATAGTACTCGTCCCACTGGGCCTGAGTATAGCCTCTGTACATGGGCTCAGGTGCTGTCGTGCGACCACGTCCCTTTTGGGATGGGCGGTTCTGGACTGCAGCCTGGCGATTGCGCTCTGCCAGACGTTCCGTTTGGTCTGTCTGGTCCTGAGCACTACGGAGGCTATCGGTAAGAATCTGTCCGATCTCAGTTGTGATGCCTTCAATTGTGGTAGCCGACACATAGACTTCGCCGTCGAAAGTCAGGATCCTTTTTGCAGCGTCGTTCACTGCTGCCACCTCAGCATAGAGTCGCGGAGGGAGGAATGCACCGAGGTAGGTCAAGCCGATGGGGACATCCGCGGTATCATCGATAAACCGCAAGTTCCTCAACGGCTCCACTTCGCAGTGGGCATAATAGACCAGCTTCGCAGGCGGGACATTGCCACCACCATAATGGGAGCCAGCACGCAAGTAGCGCTGCTCCTCACTGCGTCCTGGATCGGGAAGCACAGCGTTCGACAGGTGATCGAATTTCTGCATGTCCTCAAGGCTGCGGCCCTCTTGCATCATTCTCACGTTGAACTGCGCGTCCTTCTCGAAGCGGTCGGACACGGTGTCAAAGTTCAACTTGGCGGCCCTGATCTTTCGGTCTTTGGCGTCACGAATGGCGGCGGCCTCCGCGCTCATCTGACCACGTTTCTTTGGTCCCTCGCCCAGGCCTCGAAGGTCACTCGCGAGGAGATCATCGATGGGCTTCTGGGCTCCAGTCGCAGCGGTGGCAAGAAGGCGCTGGCGGAGTCTCGAATTCTCAAAGACTCGCTTTGTGATTTTCTTGGAGTCATCCGTCTGGGGAGCCTTGCAACGGAGGCAGAACAGCATGCCATTGGCAACGACTGCTGCGCACTCGCGGCATGGGTGAGAGCCAAGTGGGTACGGCTCATCCTCACCCGCATCCGTTGTATCGCCTTCATCGACTTCGACCTCAACCTCAACCTTGGTTTCGTCAAGATCGAATGCACCAGCAGCATCAGCAGGCTCACCCTCGCGGGTGGCTTCATCCAAGTCCATGCTTTCGTCCTTTTCGGCGATTGCGGCGGGCTTGGGAACCACCTTCGGCATCTTCTTTGAAGCAATCGCTTTGGGAGCGATAGCCGCCTGTTTTGGGGGCGGTGCCGATGATGAGCTTGCTGCTGCGGCCTCCTCATAGTCGCGCTTTGCGCGGAAAATGCGCTCTGGCTCACCCTCGCGGGCGGCTTCTTTGTGCTCGGCGACGTAGAGCGGGAGGTTCTTTTTGCTGGTGTCGATGGCGGACAGCACGCAATCGGGAGGCACATTGTCCCGTGTGAGGACGCCGTCGGTCTCCGTGACGAAGAAAACGCATCCAGCGGCGATTGCTCGCTGCGTGTCTATCGTCAGCTCGATCGGCTGGTTGGAGCGCATTCCACTCTTGTAGTGGGTGTCGTCCAACTTGTACGGGGACAGGTAGTTGTGGGACCTGTCTGACCTCGCGGAGCCGGCGATCATTCCATCGCGGAGGATACCCTTCATTCCCTTTTCATTCGTGCGGTGGAAGAGCTTTGGGGGGGTATCCTCGCGGGAGAGCACAGTGACCCCCCTGACGCTGCTCTGCAGGTCGGCCTCGTACTCGGACAATCCGCTGTAGAACCTGGTCGCAAGGAAGAAGTCCGCGTCCGGGTTATTGCCGATGAGCTTGGAGTTATGCCCTTGGGCCATCCTCACTCTGACAGGGAATAGCGGTTGACCCAGGGTGTCCTTCATTGGGACGTCAATGCCCAAAAGTCTGATCCGTCCCTTATTATCGGCTTTCGCTGCGCGTAGCAGCTGCCTCACACCCCAGCGTGCGCCCCGTGCCGTGTTGAAGACCTGGAGCAGAGTGTCAACGTCTGTCCAGCACCCACGGTCAAAGATCAATGCAGGGAAGTCGTCCATTTCATGGCCACGCAGCAGCTTGGTGAGAAACTTCAGGTCTCCGTGTTTGAATGTCACGTGCCTGTCTCCTACAATGTCCTCCGGGTTGAAGGGCTTCATCAAGTGCTTCTTGCCATTGTAGAAGTACTCATTTGGAAGCTCTGGCACAGTGGCAGCCCCTTGCGGGGCGCTTTCATCGATGAACATAAGCCTTCGCATGGCATCCTCGTCTCGATCAGACTTCTTAGTCTTCTTCGGAGGCGCTGGCTCAACAACACGTCCAATCGATGAGGGGATAGGGTCGACCTGGTCGCCCTCGTCCACCAGCTCCACCGTGCCCGGGGTGTTGTAGGACACCTTGCCGTCTGCGTCCTGGGTGACGATGTCATTGACGCATTCCGCCACAGCACTGACGTCCGTGGTTGCACCGATCCTTGGCACATCCTTGCGGATGGCTTTATCCATGGGTGGCCCCTCGGAGATCTTATTGACGTCGATTGCGTCAGCGGCATCTGGGGCTTCCCACATCTTGTCCTCCTGGGTGACCGGCATTGGCTTGGCCTGTTTCGGGTTCATCAGCTGGTCCTTCTCTGCACGCCATTGCTTGAAGACATCCTCGAGCACTGGATTGTTGGCATCGGAGCCAGTCTCAAAGTGCTCATAGCGAACAAGCAAAGCCCTGACACAGGGTGCCATCTTCTGGGCAAGCCATTCGCTCCTGCTTGCATTGATAGTCGCATGCAAGTAGGTCTGGAATAACTCGCGGTTGCGAGGGTCTTCGCTGGCGTGAAAGCTGTCATACATTTCCAGCTTTTCGACCAAGGAGCTTGCGGTTTGCACTTGCAGACCGCGCTGCCTGAACTCTTCGAACATAGCGGCATTGAAGTCGTTGTAGGCTGAGTGGAGTTGGAACAAGTCCGCCTCCACCTGCCCAATCACCTTCACAAAACCAATGTCCGGCTCGCCCGCGAGGGCGGCTAAAACATCCGCTGCCCTTCTCACTTTCCGTGCGACGGTCTCCGTTGTGACATTGGGATCTCTGTAGCGAGTCCCGGTCCTAGCCGCGTGGGGATGCAGCCCCACTGGCCGGAGATCTCGTTCCCGCACCACCAGCAGATCACGTCGATGGTGTGGTCCGGATAGTTGCTCCTGAGCTCCTTCACATGCTCCTCGACCTGCCAGACAATCCACGCCAAGGTTTTACCCCAACACATGGTATAGCGAGTCTGTGCCCATCCCAGCGTCCAGCTTGCGATGTTCACTTCCGCATCCAAGTCGGCCTTAACGAACACTCCCCGCCTGTTCTTCTTGCAAAGTGCAGTGGAGCTGTCTGACACGACTATGATGGCTCGCTTGGCCTTGGGGCTCAACCTTGCGGTTGGCTTCAACTTGGCGAGTCCCTCGTCACTGAGGTCAGCCATCTGGCGCAGAGCCACACAGGTTGCGTCGGCATGGGTCAAGGATACCCCAGCCGCGCATTGTGTGGATACGCAGCTGTACGCCGACTCCAAGAGCTGGCTCTCATGATCGGCGCCGAGCGAAATCATATCGTTGTTGAGGGCGGCGGATTGGAGAATGGTTTTCATGGCCTTGGTAACCCCATTCCTGTCTGCTTCGGAGGTGTTGACCCTGCAGAACTCGTCGCTCACAACGATGGCTGCCATCTTGGGGATCGTAGAAGTCGCTTCGGGCAAGTCGAGAAGATCAGAACCAGCTGAAATTGCAATGGCAGGCGTGCACATAAAGAAAGCCAAGATTTCATGGTCAAGGCTTGCAGTTTGTTGTGTGTTTGTGCACTCGAGCGATGTGTGTGCAAACGAATCATTTTCGAAACGAGAACACGGTTTGTTAAGCCTACCCCCCTCATCGAGAGGGGAACCAACACACCTCAAACAAACCATTGCCTTCTGAGCTGGGAGCTTCAACTGAGCCGTAGGCAAGAGGAACTGCGCTTGATGTAGGAATTGCTTTTGCTTTTTGTTGAACTTCTGGTACCCCCCTGAAGAGTAGGCGATGAAGGAATGTCGTTCGCCAGTGTAGGGTTGTACACCATGTTTTGTCGATGGATGCAACAGAGTGGGCTTGCGGTATGTGTTGCAATTGTAGCCTTTGTGGTCTTTGCCATGATCATCTGTGTATATTCCCGGTGGTCCCAACTGGCTCGCGCCCTCAATCCACAGTGTCCCCCCTGTATAGTTACCGAAGGAGAACGTCAGGTTGTACGATTCTTTCTGATTGTACTTATCCGTGTGGATGCGGGCCTTGCCATTGAAGTTGAACACGAACGAAGTCCATGTAAACCCTTTCGGAGATGATTGCTTAACAAATCCATTCACATACCTGCAAATCCATGGATAATGTTTTGTGCGGTTGGTAATACCAAAGCACCCACCATGGACCCAAGCGCCGAACACCAAGTATTTGGATAGGTTCTCAGAAGCCATCAATGATCGCGGTTTTGCCAATGATGCCTTGAGATTGGTACGAATAAGCCCAGCTAGCTTTTCGAAGGTCTTGAAGCTGTAATCGTTAGCCTCGAACGATTGTTGAGCGAAGTCCTCGACAACCTTTGATGCATCCGGAGCTGCTGCTACCGAAACCTTGTTGTCAACCTCGACCTTCGACTCGGGTTTGCACCCGGCTACGTTCGCGCTGGTTGTATGTCCAATAAGCTTCAAGGCATGCGTCCACTTGTTCTTTTCAGTGAAAGGCTTCGTGAACACATCCGCCACTTGTTCGGCTGTACCAACATTCAGTAACTTGAAATGCCCAACCTCATATTGCTGCTTTAGCCATGAGAAACTCACCCTCTGTGTCCGATCAGTATGTCGTAGAACACCAGCTTGCCCTAGCAACAAAAGAGTGATTGTCGCCTGGTTATCCTCCATATGTCTAACCTCGAAGCTTTCAGGAAGCTGGACACAGAGGCCGTTGATGTCTGCGATTGACAACCCATCCGGTCTAGTGGACCCATAACGAATTTCGTCAAGTTCAGGGTCAATGCGTGCAACTATCGAATCCACCCTCTCAGCCCTTGGCTCGGCCTTGCGGCCGGCATCTCCACGCCATAGGAAATACCACAAGCTCAGGCAAGGTAGACCTTCGGCACGTAAACCGTGATTCGCTGCTACAACTTCGGACTCAGTAGAGCTCATTGTAATAGATGTTTGTTTCTTGCTGAAGGCATTGAGGGGAAAGTACGTGTTTGGTCCAACCAAAAACATCGCACATCCTGTAGTCGATTTTGAATCGAATTCGCCCGCAAAGTCGGAATCGCTGAACAACCACAGTCTGCAATCCATTATGCTGTCGCCTATGAAACCGCTCATAGTGACATCAAGCGAAGAGTTTATGTAGCAAACCAACCTGTGAAGTCCCAAGTCGCAATCTGGACTCCACTTGGTCACCCTCGACGCTAAAGACTGTGTTGCCCTTAGAAGGTCCCATCTGGCCATGCGAGCAGCGAACAAAATCTTCATTAGTACCTTACTAGCAATAGGTTGCAAGCGCCCTGCCTTCTCTCCTTCGGAAGCTGTTGGCAAAGCCACACGTAGCTCATGGAAGGGGGTTGCAGCTGGTTTCAGGGTCTTACGCTCTACCTTAGCAAGCTCGCAGTACCGATCAACGCAAGAGTCGAGAAAGTCCTTCATATCGTACGTGATGCGAGTGACTGGCTTGGTCATTGCGCCGGGCTTCTCTTTAACGTCTTGCGACAATGTAACAAACTTGCTCTGCTTCGCCTCCTTTTTAGCCTCAGACTTGTTACGAACCGGCTTGCCCTTGCGGGCAGCTGCAACTGCCAGCTCGAAATCAGACTGTTCCCGGCCTGCGAGGTCGAAGTAGGTTTCGCCGTCCCACCAATCCTGAAGACAGCGATCGCGCATTTGATTGCAACTGTCAACAACAACTTCCTCCGACTCACCCTTGCGGGTGGCTTTAGCCACCACAGTGTATCTCCGAGGGCCGATCCCCGGGAACATTCTAGCATCATCCTCGTTGGGGACATAAAGTCTTTTGCGAGCATAACGGTGATGTCGGATTGCTATGAGATTCTCGGGGTCAATGTCCCAATAGTCTTCTTTTCTAGCAGGAGTTGCAGCTGATGATTCGGGCTCAAACACGTGACGAAAAGGGTGTGCTTCCTTGGGCAGCTTGAGGTTGTGTTCTTCCTTGTGCATGCACCCAAAGTATCTACCAATGGCTTCCGGAAGATCCATATCAATGACGCTCGAGATCAAGTCCCATCCCTCCTTGATAGAGTTCTTAGGGCCAGCGAGTTTAAAGTCATCGACGTATACCACTAAAAGCAGCTTCTTCTTCGGGTGGTAGAATACACTCTTCCAAATGTCAGTCAATACTGCCTCGAACCCGACTTTCTTCAACTCAGCTTCGCAATGATGTTCCCAAATCCCCCCTGAATCGGGGTGTCCGTAAAGTGCCAACTTGAGTGGAACAACAGGATCTTTCATGCCCTGCCATGCCTTAGGCCAGCGATTGCGAGGCAACCGTACCCAAGTGGCAACCCCTTGGAACAAAGCTTGGGTGTATGCTTGCTTGGCGTCGGCCTGCTGGATGATGTAGCCAGGTTGTGAGCCAAAGACGTCAAGAATCTTTCCTGCTTCCATAGATGCAGGACTGCTCGACATCTCCGCAAAGAGCGCGTGATCGGCGTTTTCATCAAGTACTTTATTTCCCTGAAATACCGAACGTCCCTTATACTTACGGTTGGGGTCGCCTTCTTTCAGCTCGGCTCCCTTTAGGGTACCAATCTCAAAAACATTGCCAAAGTGAACCTTGGTTTGAGATTTCTTAGCTTCGTTGGCAACCGACTCGAACTCCCTGACTTTGCCTTGTACCCAGCAGCCCTTGTCAACCAATTTCTGCCATTCTTTGTCCATGGCAGCCTGCGCCTTAGGGTTTGTTGCAATCTCCTTAGACGACAGGACCTTGGCGACAACAGCATACATCTCATCTGCGATCTGAAAAAGCTTCTTGTCATATAGCCCTTTGAGTCGTTCCCGATGTTCCTCGCTACACCCATGTAGGACTGGCATTGCAGGTACCGCCTTTACAGCTTCACGATACAGTGCCTCATTCTCCTCATGTAGCTTCTTCTCATGTTCTGCAATTGCTGTTGCTCTTTGTCTTTTCGACATAGCCTTCCATGCAGTATGATCAATAGCGTTAGGGCGGTTCTTGTTGTTCTTCTTGACCAAACATTCCCCACTCCACGTATAACCATACGGTGGTTCTTGCGCTGCTACTGCTGCGCTGGACTTCAGCTTCTGCTTCACAGAGAACGGAACATCATCAAGCAATGCTGCACGGGAATCAGACTTTGACTCACCCTTGCGGGTGGCTTCTTTCGCGTCCTTCGGCGGAGGATCTTTATCACGATCAGGACCAAATAGCTCTGGGAACATTTCATCCAGGTCTTCGCTAAGTTGTTCCTGAATTGTGGCTTCATCGTATCCCCCCCCTTCCTCCAGAGGAGGATGCGGGTTTTGCTCATCAAGGACATTGTGATGTTGTGCATCAAGGCTTGGTGGTTTATCCAAGGCAGGCTCTTGCAACAAAGGAAACTTAAAGTCACCATCTGGTAGCTCCAGTCTCTTAGTCCGAAACACACGTAGATCTTCGTTTTCCAACGCGGCTTCGATGTTGTGTAGGGGAGCAACAACGTACTCAAGCTTGAAGATAAAACCAGGTTGGATGTGGTACCCAAGGAATATACCTTCAATCCCTGTGCCAGCAAACTTGGATCGTTCAGGCTTGCGTTGCTTCTTCGGGGCCCAATAGAGAACTTTCGCTCCAAAGGGAATACGCATGCCATTGAACTTTTCACTATACCTGATTTCCCACGGAATCTGACCATTGTCAATCCTCGCAGTGATGTTAAGACACATAGCATGATGTTGCGATGCAAGAGGCCAATAGCGATCTGGAAGTCCTGATTGCACTAGATTGGCCCGTGTGCCTTCCAAAATTGTTCTGATTTCTCGCTCGATTACGGCCTTGTTTTCGTTCACATACTCTCTAGAAGTGTTGTGACGAGCGCGAAGCTGTCTGGCCGCAAAGTCAAACTCCAACGCATTGTCGGAATATATAACCTTTACCTCATCATCTGTACCAAGGAAGTGCAACATGTCTTCGTAGCACTGCTCACCAGACTTTGTCTTGGAAGGGTACACGTATCTAAACTTAGAATACACGTCCTTCACAACATGAGCCACGGTTTCATCTTGGAACCCGTAATCCTTGGCATCAGCGGTCACGATGTGATCTACTGTGATGTGGTCACCGAACGATTTACTGTAGATTGTAGAGGATCCACCAGATTTACGCGCCTGGGGCGCATACATCTTGGCCCTTTGGCAAATGGGGCAGAACGGATTCTTTGGTCTATGGGTAAGTCGATGTTCCAAAGACACAGCCTCAGCCCTCAAGGAAGCTTCATCCTTCTTAGACTTTGGCATTGTGTATGGCTCGACATCGCTGTCGGCTTGCGCCTCAACTTCCCCTTCAGGCAAAGCAAACAATGTGATAGTCGCAATAGTCCCTTCAGGTACTTCCCCATAGATTCCGTCCAATTCATCAATGTTGACTGAATCCTCCAACAAAGACCACACGTCATCCTTGAATCCCCAAGTAGTCCGGATTCTATACCTTGGGAACTTAGGAGCCGGTGTTCGAAACGTCTTTGGGAAATGTGCCACCTTAGCAGCGGGGCTGCCGTTGATGACAGTCCAACCTGCCTTTAGCAGTTGCCTCGTTTCCACCCCAGGAATGGGAGGAATGCAATTCGCCATCTTTTCGATGGGATCTTCTGCCGCGCCAGCTGGACCTTCAGGTTCATGTTCGTGCTCTCCCCTAGCTGGTGCGGCGTGCCCTTGCGGGCAGCTGTTTACCGAAAACCCGAACCAGACTTGACAGAGGTCGGTGCAACCTTGCTGCCATCAGATTCTGAGGACTTTGCTGCTAAGCATGCCATCAATGGTCCTCGGTCGCCAAATACGGGGACATTGCCTCGGAGTTGGCAAATCATCTTCTGACCGTCTGGGCAAATGAAATATGGCGCCTCACCCGCTGGCCAGTGGAAAGAGAACCCCTGTTCCATGCACTTCTTTCCTACAGAGCAAACTGCAGGTGTGTTGGGGAGCTCAACGAACTGCAATGGGTTCCTCAATGACTCAATGTAGACTTCATGCTTGGTATCAGCGTCTACTGGTCCGTTAGCAGTGATCAAACTCACTGGGTTGGAAGCAACCTTCTTAGCCTTGCCCTTGAAATGGGCCTCCAAATCAGAGTGACTAATCAGATCTTCCTCGCTACCGGTGTCTGCGATGATTTCGAGGTTCTCACCTGTCACCGCCGCTGCAGCAAGTTGGGGCAGGGGAATTGCTTCTTTGCAGTGAATGCAGAATCCTTCTCTACCCCGACACCTGTAGTTACACTTGACCCGAACCTTAAGCTTCATCCCGTTCACTGCTGATTCCAAGTGACGGGCATTCTGCAAAGCTTCTTCGGTGTCCTCTGGAATTGATGGTGGGCATAGCTCCGCAGACTTGTACCTGAATTCGAACTTGTGCTTGTCTGGTACGAAGCTCCAGCCTTCACCCTCAGGCGGGATGTCAATGATTTCTGGCCTTAGGAACTGGACTTTCCTGCTTCGGGGCTTTCCGGCAGGGCCCTTGCGGGCTGCTACTGCGTAGGCCTTCACAGCATCGGCCGGTGGCTCACCCGTGAGGGTGGCTGTGAGGGAAAGACAGCAAGCGGCTGGCTTGTCCTCACTCTTTGGCCTTTTCTTACTGGGTCGCCTGCGCTTGCCGGAGGGCGATCTCTTCCCGTCCTTGCCAGCCTTATCGCCTTTGGCCGGGACAGAGGGAGCGGCATCCTTGTGCATGAATGGGCAATTCTTACCGTTCTTGCAGGTGCCTTTGGGGTAAAAGATGCAAGGAATCTTGGAGGTATCCTTCTTCTCCCCACCTTTACCGCCTTTACCTCCACCTTTTCTCGAAGGGGTACGTGGAGGTGTTCTGCCCCTTGTCTGTTCAGGAGTAGGCTTCACATGCTTGTATGGGCACTTATCACCTCGTGGGCACTTCCCACGCTGGAAAGCGTAGCAGGGCTTGTCCTGGCTTCGGCCGCGAGGGGTGTTCGGGGTATCGGAAGGAGCAGGGGCACCAAATCTGGCGCCATGAGCTTTGGCGATTGCTGTGCGGTTTTTGCGAGTCCTATCTCTAGCCAATAGCTCTTTCACGCATTTGACCAAGTAGTCATAAGTGCGTTGCTCTGTTCCTTCCTTAGCCCTGTCGTAAACCTCCAGATCAAACTTGAGCTTGCTAGCATTGCGAAGCTGACGAAGTAGAATATCTCTCAGCGTAGTCTCCTCGGGTTGGTGATTCAACCCCGCGATGACCGACTCCCAGTTGTGAATGAAAGTGCTAAGGTCATCACCATTCAACTGCACCTTGAGTAGATCTTCTACAGAGTAGAGGGAGCCTGCTTCTTCGTTGGTCTTAAAGTAGTGTTCGAACATCAGTAGAACCTGTCTACCACGAACGGCCCTACCAGCAGCTGCCTCAGACTCCTTGTAGTTAATGATCTGTCGTCCAAGATCACCCCTAGCAACCCTCGAGAGCGCCGAAAGGATCTTCGTGTCCAAAGTGAGGAATTTACCCGTGTCCCTCAACTTCTCCGCATCGGCGTCCCTGGAGTAAACCTCTTGAACCCATTTGAATGCCTCATCGGGTCTGTCCGATGCTGCCCGAACGGCCTCCCTAACTGTGATCTTCCAGCTCCTATAAGTCTCCGGGTTAGGGAAGTCGGGTAGCTTCACCGTTTCAGCTTCCTTAGCCTTGGGTTTGTCATCATCAGGCTTCTGGATAACCGACTTGAGTGCTTCAGCGAGAAGTACGCTAGGTTCTTTGTTTTCAGTAGATTCTGCCGGTTCTTTGTTATCACTCTGTTCAGCAGCAGATACCGCTACATTGTGGGCCTTGGTATCCTCAGGCTCTCCAATGTCATACCGTTGGGTCCTTCCCAAAACCGTCCGAAGCGACACAGGAATCTCCCTGGGGTTCGGAAGGGTCGGAATCCATGAATGGCTAGGACCCTGAACAAGCGGCGCTGCGGCACCACCTTGCGGTGGGCTTGGTTGAAGTTTGGAGCTCTCACTGGGATCGACTTTCACCGGCACGGCACCACCTTGCGGTGGGCTACTCTCCGCTGTCGACAAGACAGTCCTGAGTGAGTCGACCTCAGCTATAAGCTCCGCGTTCCTGTCCTGCAGGTCATCAACCAAGCTATCGTACTGCTGTGCCTCAGAGGTTAGCCTATGGTAGTACTCGTTTTCTTCCCATTGAAGCTTTTCCTCAAACTCAGACCCTAAAAAGGCAATCATCTCACTGTGGTTTTCTTCGATACTCGAGCGCAATTCCGCGAAACGGCGTTCATGCTGTCTGTTTTCCGCAGTGAGCGTGCGCGCTGCTGCTTCCAGCTCGGACCGATGTGCATCAAACTGCATGGCCATAGACCTTTCATCATGACTTTCCCTTTGTGCGCGTGCCAGCTGTGCCTGCAGCTCATTGGCTGATTGTCGTTCTGCTCGGGCGATTGTCTCTAGCACTCGTACTTCATTGTGTAGCTGTCCCACCAACAGGTGTGTGGATTGGCTCACAAATGCTAGCTGTTGACGATGATTCGCATCCGCTGTTGCCTCTAGGTGTGCAATGTATGCGTTGGCTTCGGCGTACACGTTGTCCAATGCAAATCGATGTCGTTGTTCCGCGCGAAGCTCCAAGGCACTTTGAATGCGGGGGTCATTCAGGAACAAGTTCACCTGAGTATTCTCCTGCAACAAATGCAAGAAGTACTGGTTCGCTTCCTGCTCCGTTCTACCACCAATACCACCGTCATCATTGTTGCCCGCGGCCGTTGCAAACGGCACGATGTCCATTACGGAGCTAACTACGGCTGATAACCTGAAGTTTCCCAGGCTACCAGCTTGGCACGTCTAGTTACCGGTCAGTCAACCCTTGTGACCTTTTTCCACGGGGGACTTGGGCCAAGTGCGGTCGCGTAAAGACATAGCTAAGGACCATAGGAATAGCAATGGAGGCAGGGTAAAATCTACAGAGCCTTTCATCGTTAGAAGAGGGGCTCGTGGCATATCATCGTGCAAACATATAAAGAATCGCCTGAGGCATAATGTTGCCATAGGGACCCTTAGGGGGGTAGTTAGGGGAGGGGTCTTAATACCTATTATAAGGACTTCATAAGGCCTATTTAAGGAAATATAGTCCCCCTACCCCCCTCCCCCCCTAAAGGGTCCCTATGATATTGGTAATTTTTTACTAGGATGCCCAGTAACCTAGGAACACAAAGGGCTCCCTTTTTGGTATTGGGTATTTTTCTAAGGAACCTAGGACTGCAAAAAGGGAATAAGAATACTACTGGGCATCCTACTGCTGATGGACAAAATCCTGCATGACCCTAAGAACTCTAAACTATGGGAATTATGGTATATTCTTCATAATGAGTGATGCAGGATTTTGTCCATCAACAGTAGTTTAGGCGTCTTGGGGTTCCGGGTCTGTCTTTGCAACTCTCAAGCTTCATTGTGTATGAGTCTCGGAGAGCCACCAAACTCTTGCAGTCAGGAAGATTCATAGCCACTTCTTAACCCGGCAGTATTCCTTCAACCACATCTTCAACCGACTTCTACCTCAGGTGCTCCTAACATGATGCAAGGGTTCAATGGCAAGCAGCCTCCATAAGCCCCAAGGTGCAATTACCCAATATTAGCACATCCCGGGAATGTCAATCTGCAACGACTACCCAAGTTCGATACATGGACCCTTCAATTAGGTGCCTGTAGCGAACATGCGCAGACATCAAGGAACGAAGGAACCGTATCAGTACATTCTGAAGCCCCTATATTCAGGGCTTAAGGTCCAGGGTCCTTGATCTATGCGTGTTCCCTCCTTCAAAGGAGAAAGGAATCCATACCACCTTTAGAACCATAAAAAAAACGAATAATTTAATGTTCTCCTAGGTTTACATGAACAAAAATAAAAAAATGAATCCTAAGGAGGCTACAGGCTTGGGGTTTAGGATGCCTTTCAAGAATCAGCTTCGGCTGCAGATGCAGACAGTGTCCACCTCATTTCTTGGAGGTGTAAGGACATATGCTGCAGAGTCTTATTTCGGGTTGAGAGTGTCGCGCAGGAATTTCGTGACGACGATGATGATAGCAACGGCAAGCAAGATGATTGCCATGATGGTGACCGCATTACTGCAATTGCTGTTATTCGTATCGCTGTTCGCGACGATCAGTCGTATGTTATGGCCGTTTGCCTCTACGGCACTCAAGTTTGCAGAGATGCCTATGCCAAACACTCTTCAACAATAAGGTAACCGAATCGAATTGCCGATTCCTGTAGCTGCCACCGCCTTGCGTTTTTCAGGTTGCTGCTAAGAACACATGATGACTGCTGTTTCCACTCCAATATCCCTGAATTAGGGAATTTACCTTAAATTATAGTAGGATCCCTAATACTACTTAAAGTATATTCCTTAATTCAGGGATATTGGAGTCTCTGGGTCTTCTGGCCAGTTTTGAGCGGCTGTACAACTCAGGTCCACCCAACTCTGCACTGCCGAACCTAACACTGGAAGCAACAAGTATCACAGTCCCACATCGCCGACACAAGCCTCATTAACTCGTCATAAAAACCGGCACAGGAGCCTGTGATTCTATCCGTCTGGCTGCCTGTACATCTGATGTTTATCTCTCCATCTGCTTATCGATTGTCTACCTGTCTGTCTATCAACCTGTCTATGTGATGTCTATCCGTCGATCTGTCTATCTGTGAGCCTGTCTGCCGTACCCTCATATCTACATCTCTACCTATATAGACACACACGCGCAACTTATAGAAGCCTCTCGTAGAACGCATATCAACACCCACCCTCCCACATCCCACAAAGACAGCATAGCCAATACTCCCTCCCTCCGAAGCCGATCAATGTCGAGGCACCATTGTAATCGTGGAGAGGCGCTAGAGGCAGTCACTGCACGACCGCGAAGGCAAATGCCGTGGCATAGGCCTTGCAGGGTTTATGATGTGGGGTGTTCTTTCGGGCTTGATTCGAGTGCTTCAAGGCTCTAAGCTGCAGGGCTGACGTTCTCAAAGTCAAAGAGTTTGAAAGGGTTGGGGGCTTAGGGTTTCTGGCTCGGGGTTTAGGTCTTGGTGCCGTGCCAGCTTGAAATGTCTTGGGCTCGCGGTTGCTCTGAGAGCTGAGATATGGGAGGGTCGTGTTGTTTGTGCGATCACGAAGCAACCCCTCAGGTATGGCCCAAGAGTTACGGAAACCCAACCTATCATCAACTCATCGATGGCCTACAATCTCCCGCTGGGCGCAAGATGCCTAAATAAACAATGTGGCCCTAGGTTTAGGTTCAGGGATTAGGGTCTGGGCTTCAGGATTCTGGCATTCAGGGCTCAAGAACTAAAGACAAGCTTTACAAAGCCGGCGAGAACCTACTTGGAGGGGCAGGGGACTTAGTAATTAGGTTTTAAGTAGGGTTATAATTGGGGTAACTCCATTTAGGCTACTTATAACTCTACTTATAACCGACTTACTAAGTCCCCTGCCCCTCCAAGCACACCCCAAACTCTACGAGGACCATCCTCTGTCTGAGAAGCCAAAAAACGAGCCCATTACCCCCAAAGACTCCAATATCCCTTCATTAAGGAATATACCTTAAACCATATAAGGGATCATGCCATAATTTAAGGAATATTCCTTAATTAAGGGATATTGGAGTCTCTGGGCCCCAAACCCACTCCCTGAAGCCTGAACAAAATGGATCCCCCAGCGGTACTGTTCGGCCCCCTCTTGGATCCCCAAATAAGGCATCATTCCTACAGTGCCGAAACGACTCAACCTCTCTTTGAAAATTTGCACAGCCTTCCCCCAAATATATCGTACTAAATAGTTCTTCTCAGAAGAGCAAACCTTGTGTTCTGCTCAAGTAAACCTGACAAGCACCATCAAACCTTACGACCAAACTTAAAAACGGTCCTTCATGATTCCCTGTCTTCCCAAGACCTCTTTGATAAGAAGGGCTGAGAGTAACAAGGGTACCTGTGCCATACTAATTGCAAGCATACAGTTTACATACTAAGACCCCAAAACGAAAGCCAAGGCATAAGACGGCATAGTGCAACTTACCTGATACCATAAGTCCTGAGCCCTTCAATCCTAAACCTTAAACACAATAGCTCTCAACCCCAAAACCGACTAACCCGAAACCCCAACATCGTGCCTTCACTGGGCCTCGATCTCGTGGCCGACTGCGCAGGAAAGGGCCCAGCAAGCGAGGTGCCCGTAACTGTCCAAACCTGTCCGGGCCGAAGGTTGAGGGTTGCGGGCCTTGTGTGTAGGTTTTTGTTGCTTTTTATAGCTCCATTTTATGTCTGCCCCTCGTCCAGGCTTGTGTGTAGGGTTTAGAGCCTTAGGGCCTCGGGTTTGGGTATGGATTCTGTCCGGTTTTAGGGAGATTTGGAGTTTCCGAACATAGGGGACCCTAATATAGGACCCTAAATAGTAGGACCCTTTTCAAAGGACCCCCAAAATAAGGTACCCCTGTTTTGGGAAACTCCCAGATCACTGCACTTGACGTTGTGAGGCGTTTAGTCGGAGATTAGCTCTGGGATTTTCACCCCTCCCTCCATCCAAACGCTTTCCTCTTGTCATCAGAACCTTCCAAAAGAGTAAGCACAAAAGATATCTGATGTCATGTGGACCAGCACCAACTTTTGAGTTTGCTTTGTAAAGCTCTACCCATAGGCCCCAAAGTAGTTCCTTTTGGGGGTTCATATGTAGAATTCTATATATAATCCCAAAAAAGAACTAGTTTGGGGCCTCTGGGTAGAATCAAGACTTTGAGGGTGTGCAGGTTGCTGTCGGGCTGGATTCTAAGGTTTGAGGTCCGCAGGGCCGCAGTATAAGACTGTTTATTCCCTTCTTTAGGTGATTATGCTATTCCTTTTGGGGCTCCTGATTGTAATGGTTAGTATTTATTCCTTTTTTTTGGTGATTCTGCTATTCTTTTTAGGGCTCCTCATTGTAATGGTTACGTAGTGCGTTTCGACGCCTGGCTGCCTCAATCCGAAGCATGTGCGCTCCCGACACGCCACCGAAAACAAAACCGCTGAACGATACAGACCTGGCGGGTCCTACACGCAGGACGAGGGGACTCAGGACACGGGTTCTATGCAGGGTTAGGGAAATGCAACCACTTCACCCTATGCTTACGTTCTCCGTCTCCGAAACTACGCAACCTGTTAATGCGTCCCCACCTCGTTCGGGCCAACGACCAAGGCCTGAACGGCTTGCGAGGGATGTGGTTCGGAGTCCGCAATAGCCCTGGGGCTCCAAATAGCCCAAAGTAGGTATTATTTATAGACTTTAGGCCCCAAAGTAGGTACTATTTGTATACTTGGAGCCCCAGGGTAGGGTTCAGGGCTTCCGAGTTTAGGTTTCAGCGTGCAGGGCTAAGCTTATAGGGCTTAGGTCTCGGCTTCAGGGTTGGACAACTTTCTGCTCCAGCAAAAAGTAGGGTACCTTTGTCGTTGGATGCGGCGGGTAGCGACGGGGGATGTAATCAAAGACATATGGGAGCTTCCGAAAATAGGGGACCCTAATATGCTACCCTAAATAGTAGGATCCTTATTATAAGGACCCCAAAATAAGGTACCCCCTATTTTCGGAAACTCCCATATACGGAATGTCTGACTTCGGGTCTGGAACTCGCGGTGTAGGGTTGTGCGTTTAAGACTGAGGCTTCGTCTCATCAGCTTTACTATCGGTTTAGGGTTTAGGGTTTAGGGAGTTTAGGGTTTAACTAAGGAGCCAATATAAGCACGACGAGAAACAGTAGCTTAGACA